AGGATACAAAACATAACTTAATATAATTTTTGCAAAGAAAATTTTCTTATATATGCCCTCAACAGATGAATAATATTTGATATTTTAACTTTTAGAAAGGCAAATTTGGTCAAAAAAGGGAAGAAATGCATAATTGATACAAGACAATTTTTTTGAAAAAGAGAGTTGCATCCTTGCAATAACTATTAATAATTTTTCTTAATAATACCTGTTCTAAAATTCCTGGTAACACAATTTTTTGATACTTTTCCAAATTAACTGACTCAAGCTGACTCAGTCTGACCAAATTTGTACCAACTAATATTCTTAATTCTTCACGTTCTTTCTCTCTGTGTTGTCTTTCTCTGGAGTGTCCCTGGTGTTGCATTCGAACCCAAAGTTTGTTCATTTCTGCAAAATTCATCAAAACAAAATCTATAGAGTCTCGAACATTTCCTTCAGCTAAGTTGGATTCTTCCTCAGGTACATCTGGAAGTACATTTCTTGTACACTGAAGCAGATAGTTCCTTAAAAATAGTCCTCGCAAGGGATGTTGTACCCCTACAAATGAATTGTTTAATGTAATACTGTACTGACGAAATTTCGTATGTTACCTCTGCACATTTCCACCAAATCCTTTAAAATATCACGTTTCAGTTGTGGATTTGACTTTATATAAACTATTCCAACAGTTATAAGAAGATACAATCGAGGAACAATATTACCAGCATATTGTACCAACTCATACAAATCAGTGACTTTCCGGCCTTTTTGAAACTCATCCAAAAGATATAACTCCATGTGCCGCAATTCATCTGTGATTGCCATATCTACAAGTTCCAATGTTGTAAATATAATTCAACGAAAATACATATAAAACATAAAAAATAATATACTGACAAAGTTCATAGTAGCTTTTAGGAGACAACAGAGAAGTTCTTAGTTCTGTTAACATAGCACTAGCATGTTTCAGAGCATCCATAAGCTTCATTTTATCTAAACATCTTTTCATTTGGAAAGCTTGAACTTTAACTACACCAAGTGCTTCATCTAGTAATTTCTCTTGTTCTTCAACGGGTGAAATTTGTTGAGTAGAAGGCTAAAAGATAAATATTATTAAATGAATGAAAAATTACTGTAAATATAAAGATTCTCTATTTCCAAAATATGTATAATGTAAGGGGTTAAAAGTTGTGTTTACCATTCTGAATCAATGCACCAACTTAGAGTAAATTTTTCTAATATTAATAGCGCCTATTTTTGAATCGTTCCTAGTATTTACCACCTAGTTTTTAAAAAATTATGTATTATTATCTATCTGTATTTTTTAGTTTTAACCTAAAATTGTTAATCACCATAGACAAGGTTAATTACCATAGATATATAAGTTAATTTACCTTTTGGTGTTTACAATGCAGGTATAATATAATAATGGCTAGGGTAACGATGGTCGATAAATAAATAATCGTATTATTTAAATTAAGCTTGTATAACCGTACAAAAGATACTACTTTTAATTATGTTAAATTATTATGGTGCATTTAAAAACTACAAGCAACCAGGAAATTCAAAATATTATATTTCTCTAACGGGAATCCCCTACTTTCTTATGGTAGATTGAGTGGTATCAAATAAAAGGTATATTCCCAAAGCATCAAAAAACATCATCGTGGTACTATCCACATGGCTAATAGTGTAAGGATATTTTCAACCAAACCATCAAGTAAACTCAAAATGCCTTTTAAACGAAATCGCAAACTAATGCATACACGACATTTTACCAACTTTAACAAACTGTTTAACATTTAACATTTGTATACAATATTGTATTTTTCAAATAAACTGTATAGAAAACGTTACTCATTTTAAACTGCAAACCTTTTAATTACAGAAAAACAAAAAGATACATTTAGAGAGTTTATTGTTAGCAATAAATTTTTCGTTATTATATACGCTTTTAGTTAACATTTTAAAGCTGCTAGTATAAACAACAACAACAGAACAATCTGTTCTTGTACATTACTCACACAACGAATTATCGAAAGTAAACGTACATACAAAAGATAGAAAAAGGAAAAACATTGGTCCACAATAAATATATAAAAGGGTATTTTGTCACCGTCTCCAAAATGACGATTTCTAAAATATGTTTTATTGAGAATTTTACCTCTAAAATGTAGTTGTGTATTATAAGTAAATAATTTTATTAGTGTGGTTTAACTTTGTTACGTACTAGAAATGATAAAAACGGTTTTGTAATAAACAATTATGATACAATGGAACAACTTTTAGAAGTTTTCTAGTAATAAATGAAACTATTATAAGTACTATAAAAATAAAACAACATAAAATAAAATAAGCGCAGCGAGTACTTAAATCGAACGTAATTTTCTTTTTCTCTTATTTGTAAAATTAAATAGAACAAGCGATAAATAATTTCCACGGATTTGACAAAATGCAGATTAAGAACTTATTGTTAATGAAAAAGATAACATGCGTATAACTTACCAAGCGTAAAATGGTTCAGAAATTTCAGCGTACGGTATATTAAGTATTCCTTTAACACTGTAGGTTGTTGCCCAGTTGGGTGATTTGACTTTTTTTGTTAATTCGCATCCTTTAAATGTAAACAATTTTCCCGACTAGTTAGTAATACAAATTACGATATCATTTATTTAACTTACCTGCTTCTAGAGTTGCAAGCAAAATAAGGAAAAACGATAAAAAGGAAACTACCGGTTTTCTCATTGTATCTTATATTACACTACCGAGATCATATACGTATAACAACTATGATGTTCCGAATAAAATTTATTGTTACAAATTACAGAGATATTTACAAGTTAACCTTATCGACCTTAGCAGGGTCAATATGATAGCATGGAAAGAATCGAAACTTACTTCTGCGCATTGCAGTTTCTGAAATTACAATCTTTTCTTCTATTTATTACTCATTATACAGTAACATGCAGAACATTTGAACATTTAATTTATTATGTATACATGCATACATACATACTGAGGGCTAATCGTATGTGTTTTACATACTGATTTGTCATTGCTTTCCAATACAAAAAGCAAATTGCTACATCACTACATAGTATAAAACAAAGTCGCTTTCCCGCTGTCTGTCCCTATGTACGCTTAAATCTTTAAAACTACGCAACGGATTTTGATGCGGTTTTTTTTAAAAAATAGAGTGATTCAAGAGGAAGGTTTATATGTATAATACATGCATAATATAGTAGGGAAACACTGATAATTTTAGAGGTTTCTAATGTCATGTCGTAAATAAACACATTTTTTGCGCTTACATTGCAAACGCTGGCTGAACTCTACGAGATAGATCAAAATAATGTACTACAATATTGTACATCTTAAAAGAGTCTACAAAAAACTCCGGGATGGTATATGTCTATCTCTTAGGGATAACCCACAATAACCATTTTTATCCTTTACTTTTTACGAGAAATAATGGCTTATTTACGAAGCGATTGTAAGCAATACNCTAATAACTTGGTGCGTTTCAGTTTAGTTACTAAAATCAATTGAGTAAAGACAGAAATATAACTTAATCTTAAGAAAAACAAAAACAAGCGATCCTTAAAATAAGATATAGATATCTAAAAATCCTTACTAGGATTTCTTTATGACCTGAAGAAGTTTTAATAATTTACTAACACTCCTCCTATTTTAAACATAAAAAATAATTAGTTTCAAAGTTACTTACTTGTAAAGGTCAAAGTTTCAGCTAATTGATCTGGAATAAATGTATAATGTACCCAGTTTAAAAAAGAACTAGAGTATCATTTATTAAAAAAAAAAACTGATAGCAATCAATAACACGTACGTACATATTTTTAACAACACAACGTGAATTTAAACTAGATATGGATCTATTCGATTGAATTTACATGGTCACGTATGTAGGGGTTGTCATCACGCCGCAATTGTTATTTTCAGCGGACATTAATACGTAACCATCGTTGCCCCAGTAGTTCGACCAACTGTTTTTAATAAGCCAATAATCTTTGCCATTCAACGTACCGTAGCCTACTGCCAAAACGGCATGGTCTAATTGATCCACAGCGTTATGGCTGGAATAAACAATAGAATATTATTCATTGTTCGTTCACCTTAATTAAATTTCTTTAGTTATGTTTGATCCAGTGGCAGCTCGGAAATGTATGTCACATAAAGTGGGCACATTTAATAAACTAAAAAAAAGCAAACAGGGAATCTGGAATACCCCACGTCTCAACTCCCTAACAATATACTTTTTTTTCCGAGAATTTGTCGGAATATTGGTCGTAATCTATGTTATTATGACCATAAAGTCTTCTTTCTATCTTTAGCCAACTACCTTTGCCCCTCTTAACTCCTGTTTCTGCTTCTAATATGTCTCCATCCAGTCCTTCTAGTCTGAGAAGATGTCCTACCTACCTATCTCGCCTATTTCTTATCGAATTACTTTTCTTCTCATGTCTTACGTTTTTTCATCATCATCATAGGATCGTCAGTCCTGAGACTGATTGGACACGCACCTTCACTCTTTTCTATAGAGAACTAATCTTTGCATTTCCCTAAAAGTAGCATATCCTACACCATTAACTATTTCTGAACGGTAATCTAATCTAACTCTACTTCTACCCCTCTTAACTCCTGTTTCTACTACTAATGTCTTTAACTATCACTTCAAATATTACCCTTAACCTGCTAAAAAAAATATGACTTCGAAAACGTGTTATGGTTGTACGTTTAGAAAATCGAAAACCAAATTTTAGACACAATCAATATCAAAGACTTATTCACATATTTGTAGTTGTATTTTTTATTTCTATTTTGTGTAAATTTCATTCTTAGTAAACTTTTGGGTGTTTTATTCACACCAGTCAGTAATAATAATACTACGCCGGAAGATAGGGCGGAACGCTTTCTTCAGTCTCCTTTCAGGAAACGTGGGAATTGGTGGATGAATGAAGACAGAAGAGAATGAAAGATTATCTGTGGAATGTTACTGCCCCAGCATTTGCCTAACTGATCCAAGGAAACCACAGAAAAACTTGGACTGAGGCCGATGGACCCGAAATCGAACCGGCGTCCTCCCGAATGCTAAGCAATAGTCTAAACCGTTAGGCCATGTCGCTCGGTTCATTTTTAGGGCAGTTTAAGAATCTTTATTCTGCAGAATTCAATGTTGGTAGGTATCTGATCGAATGTCTTTTCAAACGTAACAATAATAATCATTAAAAATTGCTAACATTGTAATAAAAGATATGCTAGCTTTCTTTAAAAAAGTTTTCCAAATTACTAGGTCGGTCTCTTATCGTGTTACTAGTTAACGCACATGGTGTATTGCTATTTTCCGTAAGGCGTAACTCCTATTCTATTGAACAAATTAAAAAAAAAAAGCTCCAAAATTAAGTGTAATAATCAATCAATCAATAAATAATCAATATTAAACGAAATTGTGTTAAAAAGTTGGAATAGTACCGGCCTCTAACACATTGGGTTTTACCGAATTTCCTGCTTTCAAAAATACTTATAATTTGATGAGTACCTAGAACCTTTGTCTGCCCATTGGGCTAAGAACAGATTTTCAAAACAAGTAATACAATAACAATTATTGTAGATCGAAAAATTGTAAGTTAGTTCTAGTTAGTTGTAGGCTCGCTGAATAAACATTATCCTTTCAATTTCATTATAAGAATGGTGTAGTCAGTAATTAAGAATAAATAGTAAATAATTCACGACTTCTTATTGGTCCTTCGAGAGATAAAATCTTAAATGTGGTACATCAGTACAAACACTACGACACCCTGTGAACATAGTCACAAGCCGCCACTGGCTAATTTAAATCTTACCATTCATTTTCGTAATACACCCCATTCGAATAAAAACTAAAAGTACGATGTCCAGCGTCAATCGACACGCTAATAGGGCCGTGTTTTACAATCGCCAAACGAAGTGCATTTATCTCGTTTGGTGTCACATTAACATAGCCAGTGATGGGGGCAATCAAAGAAACGTTTTGCACATGACAATAACCATCCTAATAAAAGAACAAAAAATTAACATTGTATTAGAAAATAATCTCCCTTCTTATTAAATATAATTATGTATTTATTATAGATACGTAAGTATATAAAATAAAACATACTTGGCCTAAATAGGGACCATATTCCTCCTCAGTAGGCACCCCTCCATGTTTCAACATCCACTGATAAGACCTGAAATCTTCTCCGCCATCGCAACCGTTATTACCATACCTGTAGGTACAATTATTTAATTTTATTAACGTGTGTAATTGAATATATTGTTAGTTTACCCCCAAGAACAGTCTATTAAGGCTTGTTGCGACAGCCTAACCAATTTTCCCTTTGTTTTTAAAAAATAAGCCCCTTCAATAGCTCCAATCGTTCCGAATGACCAACATGAACCACAAACAGACTGGTCTGAAACAAAGTAAAAGTTGGGTGAATAAAAACAAAAAAAAAAGAAGCAAACTTCGGAAAAAGTCCTGAAAAGTATACATAATATAATCTCAAAAGTCCTTAGGGGCCAAAAGTCACGGTAAAGGATCTCGTTAACAGTTATTTTTATTGAAAAAGTTGTGGATGTCAAGAATGATTCGCAATAGAAAAAACATACTGTAGCGAGCACGAGTGTGTTTGTGTGCGATCGGGCACACGTGTGCATGAACGGCTTATCGATTCGCCGACTAGCCGCGGGCGCCTTTCTTCATGTGCGCCGTATTTGTAAATGTGTGTGTCGTAGCTGCGTTCTGGGAAAGCAGTTAAACTGTTCAAAGAAAAAAATAAACTATCCGGATGTTTCCAGAAGGTTCTCGAAAGTAAACAAAAGAGTATTTAAAGGAAGAGACGATTGTCGAGAGGAGAAGAAATAAATTGACCGTTGCAGAGGCGAATCCAGAAATAAATTGACAGTGATAGCAATGAAATAAATAGCGCAGTGAATAGTGATATATCAATAGTAGTGCAAATAAATAGATTTTATCGTTGTCTACTACTAAAAGTAGTCAGAAAGAGGTGGAAGGTTATTTATTAATTATGTAATTCGCCGACGATTCGTCTTCCGATCTAAGGCTTTTTCAAGGTAAATTATTTATATTACATCCCTTTCTGACCGTCTTTAGTTGAAAATATCTTAATATTGGGAAAGAAAGTATAAAAGTTTTAAAAGATATTTTCAAACAATAATACGTAACATAATAAAACTCGAAAAGAGAAGCAATCTTACCTTTAACGGGTGTTACAGCGCCATAAATCCTCCAATCAAAATCTGACGGGAGCGCTGTCCTATCAATATTTTTATAAGGGAAGGGAGCCCCTCCGTTGTATCCTCCTGAATACTTTCTACCACGGAGCGCCTTCATTTCTAATTCAGTTTTATCAGCAAGATGATTTACACTCAACGTAAAACCTAAGAAGAAACAATTAGCTGTAAATTGCAAAAGATCTAAATATCATCATCTGGAGTAAATCTTCGCATTTCTCGAACTAGAGCAGTCTCCCTCTCAAAACTGTCCGCCATGGGCGTAGCGAGAGTTTTTTCCTAGGGGCAGCAATTTTTCAACGGCTCTAAGTTTATTTAAGTTTGTTAAGTGTTTGGTTTTCGTTTTTAAATTTTGCGCAGTCACGCGCCCTTTTCTAGAGAGGAGGCAATAAGCATGCTAAGGAGAAGTGCCCCCTCTTTCCCCTTCCTTTCTACGTCAATGCTAACCGCTAAGATATTTCCAAAAGTTTAATGTGTTTGGTTTTAGTTTTTAAACTTTACTCCGATATCGTAACACGTCACGCCCTTCTCCAGGGGGAAGGCACTAAGCTTGCTAGGGGACAATGCCTCCCCCTATTTCCCCTACATTTCTAAGCCAATGTTGACCGCTCAAATATTTTCACTAGGTGGAAGTTTATGTAAGTTTAATGTGGTTGGTTTTAGTTTTTAAACTTTGCGCCGATGTCGTGACGCGTCTCGCCCTTCTCCAGGGAGGGGGCAACAAGCTTGCTAGGGGGCAGTGCTTCTCCTATTTGCCCTACCTTTCTACATCAATGCTAACCGCTAAAATATTTCCAATAGCTATAACATTTTATAAGTTTAATGTGTTTAGTTTTAGTTTTTAAACTTTACGCCGATATCGTGACGCGTCACGCCCTTCTCCAGGGAGAAGACAATAAGCTTGCTAGAGGACAGTGCCTCCCCCTATTTGCCCTACCTTTCTACGTCAATGCTAACCGCTAAAATATTTCCAATAGCTATAAGATTATATAAGTTTAATGTGTTTGGTTTAAGTTTTTAAATTTTACGCCGATATCGTGACGCGTCACGCCCTTCTCCACGGGGGAGACAATAAGTTTGGTAGGGGGCAGTACCCCCACCTCTTTCCCCTACCTTTCTACGCCAATGCTGCCCGCTCAAATATTTCATGTTAATAACTATAAGTACCTTTATTTTGCCTGTTGACAGAATGGATAAATCTTATATTTTGCCTGAACACCTCCTTGCGTTCTTCGAGTTCTTTCTCGCCCTGATATTTTTTACCGTGTTTCGTCATAAACTTGTCGAATTCGGCATCAACATGTCTGGTCTCGACAGGATGTACAAATTCGGCCATTGGATTGAAAGTGTACAAATGATTAATGCCAGGACCAGGGAACGATCCACACGTTAAGTCTGCAATATTTTTACACATCGTCAGTAAACTTTAGCTAATGTTTTCTGATTTTCCACAATTCCTCATTACTTACTCGCACTAAATTCAAATGTGCTAGGGCTTATAGTATCCACATCGTAGGAATCGTAATCCAAATAGTAATGATCATAATGACTGCCAAGCAGTGAATTGAACCCCTTCATTTCATATCTGTTAAAGGAAAAAAATCCATTTTGATAAATAACCGACCAGAATAACAAAGAATCATTTAATACTAAAGGTTTCAAATCATCCCACCACCAAACATTACCCTAAAATCTGAAAATTTACCCGACACCAGCACCACTTACAAAAGTAAAGCACAAGGTCGCGACTCAGGAAGTCAGTGTTGTCTTTTCCAAATGTTAATTAACAACCAAACAAAAGCATTCTTAATAGGTTAAACAAAAAAAGCGCTCGTAAAATTTCGATGAGATAGAAATTATCCACTGAACTATAAAAGGTTATAAAAGGTGATGATTATGTAGAATAGTACGTAGAATAGAATGGTGCCTGCAGATTTCGAGTGCGTCTTCAAATAAACCCGCTACTGAATTATTTTCAGTTAAAATACAGAATACAGTCTAAACAAAGAAAAGCGCTCGTTAAATTTCGGTGAGATAGAAATTATCCACTGAACTATAAAAGGTGATTATTATGTAGAAAAGTACGTAGAATTGAATGGTACCTTCAGATTTCGAGCGCATCTTCAAATAAACCCGCTACTGAATTATTTAAGGTTAAAATACAGAATACAGTTTAAACAAAGAAAAGCGCTCGTTAAATTCCGATGAGATAGAAATTATCCACTGAACTACAAAAGGTGATTATTATGTAGAAAAGTACGTAGAATTGAATGGTGCCTTCAGATTTCGAGTGCGTCTTCAAATAAACCCGCTACTGAATTATTTAAGGTTAAAATACAGAATACAGTTTAAACAAAGAAAAGCGCTCGTTAAATTCCGATGAGATAGAAATTATCCACTGAACTACAAAAGGTGATTATTATGTAGAAAAGTACGTAGAATTGAATGGTGCCTTCAGATTTCGAGTGCGTCTTCAAATAAACCCGCTATTGAATTATTTAAGGTTAAAATACAGAATACAGTTTAAACAAAGAAAAGCGCTCGTTAAATTCCGATGAGATAGAAATTATCCACTGAACTACAAAAGGTGATTATTATGTAGAAAAGTACGTAGAATTGAATGGTGCCTTCAGATTTCGAGTGCGTCTTCAAATAAACCCGCTATTGAATTATTTAAGGTTAAAATACAGAATACAGTTTAAACAAAGAAAAGCGCTCGTTAAATTCCGATGAGATAGAAATTATCCACTGAACTACAAAAGGTGATTATTATGTAGAAAAGTACGTAGAATTGAATGGTGCCTTCAGATTTCGAGTGCGTCTTCAAATAAACCCGCTATTGAATTATTTAAGGTTAAAATACAGAATACAGTTTAAACAAAGAAAAGCGCTCGTTAAATTCCGATGAGATAGAAATTATCCACTGAACTACAAAAGGTGATTATTATGTAGAAAAGTACGTAGAATTAAATGGTACCTTCAGATTTCGAGTGCGTCTTCAAATAAACCC